TGTAGAATTTGATAAGAGGGAAAAAATATTCTGTATATTGAATTGTTCTCCTAAGTACAAGGAGTTTCTCCTTTATTTATAGGAGAGGATAAAGACCAAAACACAAAAGGAATTCTATTCCTACAAGGAAACAAATCACTAAATATGAACAAGGAAACAAATCAAGAGCAATCCCACTTAGAATGGGATTTGCTCTCCTTCTTGCCGTGTGGTCCAAGGAGCACCGCCCAACACTTTTCCCACCATCTTGCTCCCTTCACCACGTGTGTTAGAAACACAAACACAAACAATTCGAAACAGAGAATCAGTCAAATGTAGAAAATCAAAGGGTTAATAATAAGTGCACACACAAACTGTCACATGAAACTAGGGCTTTAATCCTACAAACCCTTCTCCAAAACTTGAAGAAGCAGAAACCTGGAAGGGGTGTGATGAAACAACTTTAATTCTGAGCAATACCAAATCAATCCAAAATAGTTCAAAGATTGTAGGCACAAGCTAAGCAACAAATGAAAGATGGCATAAGTGTACATGTCATTGATCAAATGAAGGGAAAGTCTTGTGGGAGAGAAGGTCTCAATCTACCCGTGGATAAGGTCTTAGCTGTGTCCCCTAGTAAAAGAAGAACCATTAGAGCGAGCATTGACAAAGGCAGTTTCAATGTCAAAGACTATGTTACGGGACTATTATTATTATTATTATTATTATTATTGTTATGGTAAGAAATTATTTATAGTTAGTTAACTATTATTAGGAAATATTATATTTGTTAGGTGATTAATTAGTTTCCTAGTTTATTTAGTTACCTTTTATAAATAGGATTATTAATTATTTAGTTACCATTTATTATTGAGATTCTCTAGAGTTGGAGCCTATAAATGTATCCATCACCATAGTTTTATCAATCAATGAATAAAGAAAATACTTTCTCCTAAACCTTAATCTCTCTCTTTCTCGCCTCTTTTGTTCTTGGAGCTCGAAGGTGCTCGAAATCCTTCCCTATCCCGATACGATACCGTATCAATTGGTGCTCTCATTCTTGAACTCGCCCAAAAAATACAAAAAAAAAATCTACGGCACACGCCATGGATTCTCTGTTGGACAAAGTTCTTGGTTTACTCGAGAAAGTTATACGGGGACAAATTGAATTTTATGAAGGCGTGTGTGCAGTTGAAGATTCCGTGGATGAAATTATAAAGAAACTTCAGGCATTCCGTCCAATTGAAGGTCAACCAAAATTTGATTCCGAGGTATATGCGTTCTCTGTAGAGGCTTTTTGCTCAATACAAGATTTAGTTCGTGGTCTCCCAATTATGCCAAGCCTTATTCCTATAGAGTTATACATTTTGAAAACAATCATGATGCGCTCTATTAAGAAACTCATTAGCACTCCACGAGATTCGGCCCTTCATGTACCTGTGCAAAACACAACTTTGCAGGACCAGGAATTTAAAAAGGAAATTTTTATTGATCCTGTTGGTGTTCCTGATGATGATCTTATGATAGATCTCATAGATGTTATTCCTGTTGCCGTTGTTGATGTTGTTGATGTTTCTGGTGATGATCAACGAGACCACACTATCCAAGCAAAATATTCAAGCGATGGTATTATTTTTTATGGATGCACGGAAACATTTGGGATGTCAGAAAGTGACGTTGTTGTCCTTTATGATTCTAGGAATGTCACGCGTGCGGGCAAGATTTTCTTCTCATTGGTTCTCTGGAGTTGTTTGCTAGGAGTTGTGAATGCTTTGAGCTTGGCCGAATCGTTTGATGCTCCATTCATAAAGGTCTTTGACCCCGGAGGATGTCCGTTCACAACGCATGATTCCTCGTTTTTTCTAGATTTTCAACTTGAGGACAAGTTGGTTTTCGAGGCGGGGAGAGTGTTACGGGACTATTATTATTATTATGGTAAGAAATTATTTATAGTTAGTTAACTATTATTAGGAAATATTATATTTGTTAGGTGATTAATTAGTTTCCTAGTTTATTTAGTTACCTTTTATAATTAGGATTATTAATTTTTTAGTTACCATTTATTATTGAGATTTTCTAGAGTTGGAGCCTATAAATGTATTCATCACCATAGTTTTATCAATCAATGAATAAAGAAAATACTTTCTCCTAAACCTTAATCTCTCTCTTTCTCGCCTCTTTTGTTCTTGGAGCTCGAAGGTGCTCGAAATCCTTCTCTATCCCGATACGATACCGTATCAGGCTAGCATACACTGATTGGTAAATAGAGGAGAACTCAAGGCTCACACAAATTCAATCAAGCTTCACTTGACAGAAAATAATAAAGTAAGGAGATTAAATTTATGTCTGAGTAAACTGCAAACAAACACTTTGCAAACAACCCCACAATTTCATGACTTCTATGAGTATGTGCATGTGGATGAGAAGTGGTTTGAAATGACCCAGGCTGCACAGATAATGTACTTGCATGTAGAAGAATAAAGTAATTTGCATAGAACTATTCAATCCAAAAAACATGTCACAAAAGCTATGTTCCTGGCTGCATCAGCAAAGTCAAGATATGATGAAGATGGTGAGCTCTTATTTGATGGAAAATTGAAAATTTTCCATTCATATTCACATAACCCGCACAAAGGAATAGCAAAAATATACCAAGGGGCACATTGATGACTAAACAAATACCAATAGTGAACAAAGATGTGTACATGCGTAACTTGATCAACAAAGTCATTCCAGCAATAAAGGAAAAGTGGCCTACTGATTTCAACAAAAAGGTCATCATTCAACAAGACAACGCCAAACCACACATTGCATGTAATGCTCCTATCTTTCTCTAAGTAGCCCAGGCTGATGGTTTTGACATATCACTAACATGTCAACCACCAAACAGTCTAAATCTAAATGTGTTAGGTCTTAGCTTTTTTAAAGCAATTTAGTCACTACAACCAGATCACAAATGCAAAGCCATAGATGAGCTTCTTGATGTTGTAATAAAGTTTTACTATGAGTTTGAACCTATGCGCTCCAACTTTGTTTGGCTAAATCTACAATATTATATGGAAGAGGTCATTAAGTTATTAGGTTGAAATGCCTATAAAATTCCCCATGTGGGGAAGTATTCCCTTCTAAAGAGTGGTAACTTACCTATGTCTATTTCCCTAGATCATGCAGGGTTTACTGTAGCACAACATCATTTAACTTTCCATAATTTTGATTGGAGACATTTCATTATTTAAGATGATGGAACCCACCTTCAATAGTGAACTATTTCTTTTGAAGTATAGAGTATAATGCCTTAGATGTATTTTTGACTTGTTAGGTGAAGTGTACTCACCATATAAATGCACCTAATCATGGCATGTTTTTGTATAGGGTATAATACCTTGGATGTATTTTTGACTTGTTAGGTGAAGTGTAGCTAGTCACCATATATGTAACACCGCCCCACCCTAGCCGTAAGTGTCCGCTCATAGAATTATAGACTGGCCCCACAAAAATGCATTTGATGTATTTTTGACTTGTTAGGTGAAGTGTAGCTAGTCACCATATAAATGCACCTAGTCATGTCATATTTTTGTATAGCGTATAATGCCTTGGATGTTTTTTTGACTTGTTAGGTGAAGTGTAGCTAGTCACCATATATGTAACACCCCACCCTAGCCGTAAGTGTCCGCTCATAGAATTGTAGACTGGCCCCACAAACCAGTACAAGTCTTTCCCGTACACTTTGTCCTCACTCGTGCACGCCCAAGGAAACTACCCAGGGGGGTCACCCATCCTAGAATTGCTCCAGGTCAAGCACGCTTAACTTTGGAGTTTCTAGGTGATCAGCTCTCGAAAAGAAGATGCACCTTGTTGGTATGAGTAGTACTATCAATTCTTTTGAGCCTTTTCTTTTCCCAATCTATTTATTTTCAAATCAGGGTATTACAACATAAATGCACGTAGTCATGGCATATTTTTGTATAGGGTATAATGCCTTCGATGTATTTTTGACTTGTTAGGTGAAGTGTAGTCATCATGTAAATACACCTACACATGACATATTTTTGTATAGGGTATAATGCCATGGGATATATTTTTGGCATGTAAGGGAGTGTAGAATCTGTTTTGGATTTGGAAGGTCAAGTGTATAATCACTTTTTAAATTTAAAAGATGAACTGTAGAATCTATTTTGGATTTGGAAGGTCAAATGTAAAATCACTTTTTAAATTGAAAAGGTGAAGTGTAGAATCTGTTTTAGATTTAGAAGGTCTAGTGTAGAATCACTTTTTAAATTCAAAAGATGAAGTGTAGAATCTGTTTTGGATTTCAAAAGATAAAGTGTAGAAATTGTTTTTGGATTTGGAAGGTCAAGTGTAGAACATGCATGTTTTAAATTTGGAAGATTAATGTAAAGTCTGTTTTTGAATTTGGAAGGTCAAGTGTAGAATCTTTTTTTAAATTAAGAAGATCAAGTGTAAATATTGTTTTGAAATTAGAAGGTCAAGTGTAGAAATAATTTTGAAATTAAGAAGAGATCAATTGTAGAAATAATTTTGAAATTAAGAAGAGATCAAGTGTAGAATCTGTTTCGAAATTGGAAGATCAAATGTAAATTCTGATTTAAATTTAAAATATTAATGTATACTCATCAATAAAGTGGACAAACATTGTGGGGTGGAGGGAGTATGAACATTGGTGGTACTCTTTGAGAGAAACTGCCTTCACAACTAATGATAATAGGATGGTGAAATGTCTTCAACATTCATTCACATAATGGAGCAACAAACACTAGGAAATGTGGGGGGTTACACACCTTCATCATATACCAAAATCAGAACTAAATGATTCTTCATAGACCATAATCGTATACACCCAAACGCACACTTACACAGCATCACCACAGGGAAAACAAACAAGATAATCACATGTTTAAATCACAAATACAGTATGGAGTGACAAAACAAACAAGAGAATCATAGGCTTGATTACTACTCATATGCAATAAAAGTGAGAGTAGAGACAGAGTACTTCCCTAGACGAAGAAACGTGGGAACCAGATATGAAGCAGAGCCTTTGTCAATGAGTTGTGCCACGCCTCAGGGACTTTCCCCAATGTGGGAACCATATATGAAGCAGAGCCTATTGTAGGGTAGCAAAAACACTTTCCCCTTCTTTAGAATCTAGAACAATTTACTCCTCATCATCGCCACCATCTTCCGAATTTGGAATAATCTCATCCTCATATTTTCCAATGTCTTCAGAATCTGACACATTCACCTCTGATCCTCATCACAATCCTCTTTTTTGGAATCTAGAATAATCACATCTCTGTCACCATTATCCAGATGATCTTCACAGGTAGGAACTTCATCCTCCCCAGGGAAGGGCGACTCATCTGCTTTGAAGACAGTCACACCATCTATAGAGAGGCTTTTCTTCTCAAATTATGTTTCTGGGATGAAGAATGCAAATTTAAGAATCTAGGTTTTCCGTGAAGAGAAGATATGCAAGGAAGAGTGAGAAGGTGATGGATCAGATATGTAGATGAGGATGAGTGAGAAGGTGATTGGATCGGAGATGTAGAGGAAGGGTGAGAAGGTGAAAAATTAGCGATGAAGACGAGGAAGAGCTAGAAACAATCGGCGATGGAGGCGATGAAGAGTGATAAGATGAGAAAGATTGAGAAGATGAAAAGGAATCAATGTGGATAGAATGGGTGAAGTGGGCGGGGAATTGATTGAAGTGGATGGAGTGAGAAAGGGTAAAGGTGGAAAATTATGTATTCATTATTGCCAAATTAGGAAAAAGGAAAAATAATAAGGGACATCCAAAATGGAATATTGGACAAATACTCAGGGATGAATAAAGTATTAAACATCCGAATGTATCGCGAAAGGATGCCACAATTTGCACAAAACTGTAAAAATAACCATTCGTGTGTTAACCACTATAAAAATTTGAATATTCTATGGATAGTTGTGTTGTTTCATCAACTAATATGTCCATTCAGATTTTGGCCTATAAATAGATGGCATCATGATATGTTTTGAACACACAGAACTCTTATACTTGTTCTAGATTACTCACGTCTTATTCGATTAAGTATGAAACAATTTTAAAATGTAAGTGTTTTATGCATGATTCACTAAGTTTATCAAGTTCATCTTCATCACTGATAGAACTTAGGATGGGTTATGGACAACTGGATTGGCAATAAAACACTTGGGCTAAACCACATTAAAAGATTAAATCCAATCGATTAGTTAGTTCACCTCAAGAGCTTATATATCGATTATTTTCCTCACACTTTTCCGGTATGGGATACTCTTAACACTCCCCCTCAAGTGGACAACCGGGCCATTTTGAATCTAACCGGCTGACCACTTGCAAATGAACTCTCATTCCCTTGACTTTTTTTTTTGAGTGCCAACACCTAAAGAACCACGAGCCGCCGGGTATGGACTTCCAGACGAGCAATCGTGTTAAACGGGCCACAGGCCGTTGAGTACATACTCCATACGGACAACTGGGCTAAAGACTAACGGGCCGCTAGGAATGAACGTCTAGACGAACACCTTGACAAACGAGGTGGGCTAAAACTGGCTTTGATACCATGATAAATTTAAGATTGAGTGTGGACAACTAGATTGGGTAATAAGACACTTGGGCTGAACGACATTAAAAGATTGAATCCAATCAATTAGTTAGTTCAACTCTAGAGCTTATATACCGATTATTTTCTCTTGGATTTTCCAATGTGGGATGTACTGTAACACTCCCCCTCAAGTGGACAACCGGGCCATTTTGAATCTAACCGGTTGACCACTTGCAAATAAACTCTCATTCCCTTGATTTTTTTTAGCGCCAACACCTTAAAGGACTACGAGCCGCTGGGTATGGACTTCCAGGCGAGTAATCGTGTTAAACAGGCCACAAGCCGTTGGGTACATACCCCATACGGACAACTGGGCTAAAGACTAACGGGCCACTAGGAATAAACGTCTAGACGGACACCTTGACAAACGAGGTGGGCCAAAACCTGCTCCGATACCATGATAGAATTTGGGATGGGTATGGACAACTGGATTGGGTAATAAGACACTTGGGTTGAACCATATTAAAAGATTGAATCCAATCGATTAGTTAGTTTAACTCAAGAGCTTATATACTGGATTATTTTACTCTTGGACTTCCGATGTGGGATGCACTCTAACAATCACATTTTTCACATATTGATTTTTTTAACGCTTTTACAGTGCTACACAGCGTTACTACCCCTCTCAAATTTCCAACATTCTCATCTTCCTCAAAAGATTTTTCACTCTTTTTTTAATCGCGCAAGAACAATATTTTTACTCCTTTAAATTCACTTTTAATAATATATAGTAGATTTTTTTTTAAATAAGTTCCAAAATTTCACTTTTTACTATTCAATACTCTTTTTTTTAATTTCATTGTAAAATCAAAGTGAGGCAAGTTAATTTGAGAAGGAGAGAGCATTCCCTATATATCCCTCAATAATTTGCATGCATTATATTGTTTTGTTTTGTATAATTTGTTTTCACTTTGACCTTATTAAAATGTCCAAAGGTGTTGTCAAGGTCAAAACTCAAAAGTGATCCAAAATTTAGAAATGTTAAAAGGTGTAGTGGGGGATGGGGTGTGGGTTTCCCGNGGCGGCTATAAATACATAGTAGTACCCATATGCCCCCACAACAAATCCATCCTCACTTTCCATTCCTCTTCCTTTTCCCCCAAAAACCAAAAAAAAAAAAAAAAAAAAAAATTGGTCGAATCAAATGGATAGCCAAATCATCATCCAAGGAAACCCCAATCCTCTATATGCCAATGGTTGGTCATCAAACCCACTCGACCCAAATCCCGCACCTCCTTTCCAGCCCCTGGGCTCCTCGGTTTACCTCCAGCAAAGAGATTTGCTCCTTAAGTTCATCCAAGAAACCACAGCAGCCCGCTCTCCGGCGCCTCAAACGGGGCCGGAGGCGAAGAAAAAGGTGTACAGAGGGGTGAGACAGAGGCACTGGGGGAAGTGGGTCGCCGAGATCCGCCTCCCCCAGAACCGAATGAGAGTCTGGCTGGGGACCTACGAAAGCCCCGAGGCCGCCGCGTATGCCTACGACACCGCCTCGTATAAGCTCCGCGGCGAGTACGCTCGCCTGAACTTCCCCCACCTCCGCCACCACCCCGACGGCCTCTCCGCCGCCAACCCTAAGCTCGCCGCCGTCCGGAATGCCGTGGATGAGAAAATCCGCGCCATTCGCCAGAAGGTGAAGGAGAAGAAGAAGAATATGGTGGCGGCGAAGGTCGTCGTCGATTCCGTTGTTCGCGTTCTCGAGTCGTCGGCGGCGGCAGCGGAGTCGCCTTCGTCTTCCTCGTCGTCGTTCGCGGGGAACGGCAGTTGGAGCGGCGGTTTGATTTCTCCGAGTGTTTCTGATGATGGGTTTTGGAGGAGCGAAGCATCGCCGCCGTCCTCCGTCTCCGATGAGCTCCTGCCGGCGCCGGCTGACCCTGAGCTAGAAGGTTGTTCCCTTTCGAGGATGCCTTCCTTCGATCCAGAATTGATATGGGAAGTTCTGGCCAACTAAGACCCACGGATTATTTGTTTTTTTTCGTACTTTAATCAAGAGTTTGTCTTGTTTACTCTGCTTTTAGCTATAATTTGTAAATGGTCATTTGTTTTTGTAATTCACCATCTTGTTGTCATTAATTACTTGTTAAGTCTCTCATTTATTCTTAAACATAACACATGCCAATGACACAAACAGATTAAACTAGAAATATTTACACTAAATAATCAAATTATATTACCTGCCACTTCATTACTCCCAATATACCATTGTGCATGTGTAAAGTATATTATGATGGGTAAAATAATTTAAAAATAAATTTAGTCAAATATTATAACATAAGGATTTTTTTAATATGAGTAATCTATAATAATTTTTTATATGAATAATCTATAATAATTATCTAATTTCATTGGTTTTCTCTCCTCTTTTTTTCCTCCCATTGTTAAGGAAGAGATGGAGAAAGGAAGGGCGAGTGTGTGGGTTACTTTTGAGGGCATGCAACACGTGATGTGGTGATACTAAAAAAAAAAGGGGTAATTTACCTAAATAAGACTAAAACATAATGACTTTCTCAATATAGGACCATATGTTTGTATTTCCCAATGTAGGACATTTGCTCATTATCAAGTAGTCATTATTCAACTAAATGTTCATCATTACTGGGCATTATTCCTTCCACTAGGTCATTATTAAGTCCTATTTAAGGAATAAAAAAGTTTAATTCCTACATTTAGAAAGTCATTATGTTTTAGTCCTATTTAGTGCAAATTTCACTAAAAAAAAGAAGTAAAAACCAGTCCATAAAGGGAAAAGGAAAAAGAAGCACACATGTGTGTGGTGTAGAAAGTTCTTTGGACTTCTAGTTCTCAACTACTCTCTCCGTCCCAAAAAGTCTTTCCTGTTTCATTTTTTGCGCATCCCATAAAAACTTCTATCGACATCTAAAATGCCTAAAATTTACAACATTTCTTCTTTATTGTATGTAGAAGTTATTTTGAAAGTTTTTTTGGCATTAAAGGCAGGATAGAAGCGTTTTATGAGATGCGCAAAAAATGAAACATGAAAGACTTTTTGGGACGGAAGGAGTATATTTTTTTTACCTACTTTCTTTATGTGCTCCCATACTCCCCCCAGCCCTTCTGACTGCCTGCAAAACCCATGCATTTTCTCTTTCTTAAGCTCAATAATTGTGCCGTATTCGCCGTACCGGTCTAAAGTCTCTAAACTCATTCAAAAAAATATTTATCGAAGTTATGAGGAAAATATAACCTCATAAAATTTTTCTCTTTTTTTATCATCCGTCCCATGAAAAACTTCTCATTTTTATTAAAAAATCACTTTTACCTCTTACTTTTTCATACCCTACCTATCACATCATACCTTTTTACTAATAATCTACCCATCAAATCCTACTTTTACCCATCACATCAAATGATATTTTTGTAAATTCAATACCAAAATACACTCCCTTAAATCTCTTCAAAAAGCAAAACATCTCATGTTTCATGAGACGGAGGGAGTATTTATTTTTAAAATAGAAATAATATATTTTTTTTAAAAAAAATAGGACTATTCTTGTTTTAAAATACGAAATTCCGTATGTTAGAATAGAATTCTATAGTACTCTTTGTTATTACTCCTTCTGAACTCGAAAACACTTCTCATTTTGATCAAGTGCCAAAATAAGAAAGTGCAAAATTGTAGTTGATTTCTAATTTTTTCTTTGATGTGATGGGTAAAAGTAAGATGTGATGATAGATTATTCGAGAAAAAGTATGATGTGATAGGTATGGTAAAAAAAATAGAGGCAAAAATAATTTTTAATAGAAAAATAGAATTGAAGTGTTTTAGTGGAAGAGAAAAATATAAAAGATGAAATGTTTTCCCAAAGGGAGGAAGTATTTGTTAAGAGCATTAGTATTATAAGTTCTTTTTTCTTTTAATCTTTCTTCTTAACCTAAATTTCATGTTCCTTACTGCCTAAATTAAACTCCTTATTTGTTCTATACAAAGTATAGGTGTGCCTGGATCTGCTCATAATGCTCAAGCTAGGTCCACATTCCTACTAAGATCAACATACACAAAACCATGCCGAATCACTTTGCCATTTCCATAACAAAGTGAAGTACAAGATGTCTACCTCTGGTACAAACTCGTATCCTATAGCGAAGAACTTTGAGCATTTTTCAAGCTCCAGAAATTGAGACAAGAGCAGAAGAAGAGTTGTGACGAGAAGGAAATTGGTGAACCGAGAGAGGAGAATATATTAGGGTTTATAATATTGTTTATTGATTGATTGATAACTCAATGGTGATGGACATATATATAACTTTCAAGTCTAAAGAATCTTAAACATAAACAATAACTAAATAAACCAAGATACTAATAACCTAATATAATAATAATAATAATAATTCCTAATAAATACGTAGTATTAACTTACCATGAATAATAATAACCTTACCAATAACAATAATAAAGACTACTAATAATATTTAAATATCCTAGTTAACCAGCCATAACCAGCCCTCGGGCGAAGCAAATTCCCAAGGAATTTACGTAAATAGCACTAAAACATAATGACTTTTCCTAAATAGTACTACATGTGTTTTTTTCCCAATGTAGCACTTTTAGTCATTATCCATTAGTCATTATTCAAGTAAATATTTGCCATCATTGGTCATTATGGACATTATTAAGTGCTATTTAGGGAATAAAACAATTTAAGTGCTATTTAGAGAAATGACTTAAGTTTTAGAGCTATTTAGTGCAAATATTTCAATATTTAAATATCCTAGTTAACCAGCCATAACACTCTTACCTCCTTAAAAATCCACCTTGTTCTCAAGAGGGGGGGGGGGTCTTACTCATGCTTGTGGAGTTGTGGATAAGAGACAAAGTGCTGAACAAAAGAAGACATCCACTTCTTGGCCAATTTTTAATCCACATGCCACCTAGAATGTAATAGGAGAAATATGAGACAAAACCATTCCCGAGTATATTCGCTCCCATTGAAACCAGATGCTCCTCGTGGATGATATCAGGATGGTGAGACATTATTATTTGAAATCACTAAAATATCAAATACTCAACCTAAACACTTCTAAATATTGCATCATTGACAATAATTTTCTCACAAAATTGTAAGGAACATACCATATGAATATTACTAATACTATGCTAGCTATAACTCCTAAAACATCATTCCCTACCCATTTCATAAAAATTCCAATAGATATTCCATTCACTTGTAAGTTATGCATCAAATTGTAGAAACACAATGTAATCTTCAATCAACATGCAACAACAATACAATACATGAAGTGTTTCGTATATGTTTACTACCATCGGCAACACTCTAACAATCAGGTCATATAAAAGTGTTTTTGCTTGGCTTGTGCGTGGTTGCCATATCATAGTGGATGTCATACAAACGTAATTTTTGACAAATCAAAATCAACTTCACAATGTCATACTCTTAAATGGAGAATAAATGCTAATTCTTTAAATTTCACAATTCTAATCATGTGTTTACAAGCTTTACAATACTATTTCCTCCGTCCCAAAAAGTTTATCCCATCGCATTTTGACTAAATTGGTAAAATAAGGAGGGATATTTTGGTGTTGACTTTCCAAAAATACCATTGATGTGATGGGTAAAAGTAGGATATGATGGATAGATTATTAGAAAAAAAGTATGATGTGATAGGTAGGGTATGAAAAAGTAAGGGATAAAAGTGATTTTTTAATAGAAATGGGACGGACTTTAAGGACGCAAGTTTTTCGAAACGGGACAGACTTTTTGGGACGGATAGAGTATTTTACTTTACACCATGTGTTTTTTATTGATTTGAAAAAAAATCAACCAATCCAACAAAATGACTTACACGTAATTTTAGGTTTTCAAAAAATGAAGAATAAAACTTTAATATCCTATTCCCTCCTTTTATAAAAGGGTTCTCATTTTAACTTTTAAGAGGGGAGTGTATATTTGTGATTGACTTTCCAATTTTGTCCTTGATGTGATTGGTAAAAGTAAAATGTGATGGTTAGATTATTAATGAAAAAATATGATGTGGCAGGTAGAGTAAGAAAAACTAAGGGTAAAAATAGTTTTTTGATAGAAAGTGAAAGTATTTTAGGGAAAACAAAAAAATGAAAGAGGGAACAGAGAGAGTATTTCTTTAAACATACTTCCAAAATTTATGAACATATGGTCAAACCTAAAATTCCCATTAGAAAATACATATTGCACAAGATTAAATTAATTGCATGTTTCAAAACTCTTGCTCGTTGCCAAGATCAAAGAAATTGCAATGAATTTGATACACTACCACCAAGGGAAAAAAAAGTGCAAATTAAAATTCTTGCGCACTGCCAAAATCAAACTTGCAATCAATTTGATGCACAACAATGCAAGTAAAAAGTGAACTCCCAAAATAAAAAAAATCAAACAAAAATCAACGATTGAATCTCTAAAAAAATTAGTTCCGTATATTAGAAATTTGGTCATTTCACACAAAGTGCATGACCGCTCTGTTTAGTCAACATATTAGGGTTTAATTTATGAATATAGCAAGCGCTGTAATAGTCTATTAGTCTTTATACATTTTATAAAGTGTGTGCTTTTCTTTGAATTTTAAAAAAAATACTACACCATTAAAAATGGTGCAGGGCTAAAATTTCTCTTGGTTTAACAATGTGTTTAACCAAACATGAATAAGAAGACAAAAATAATAGGACTAATGATGCACTTTTGAAACTAAATTGAAAGAAAGTTCAAGAAGGAAATCACCCACTTTTTTTAAAAAAAAAAATCAAGAAAAGAGTACGCACTAAATTAAAAGAATATAGAGATCATTGTTGCATTTTTGTAAGTTGGGGGTGGGGTGGGGGACAAACACTCTATAAACTATAAACTATAATTCACTGATCAAATTAATTTTTTTTAATTATATTTTAATCATTTATTTGATAAAATAAAATAACTCAATTACCACTTATTTTATAAATTTTTTAATGTAATTTTTCTTAAAAATTACTTTTATTTTTTAACTTTATGTCAATT